GGCCAGCCCATGTCAAAGGCTGGCCATTCTGAGGAACAAAGAGTAATCCATTTGCGTTTATGCACATCAACTACAAAACAAAGACCAAACAACACAGAACAGGCTTTCGCAGCGTGGTTTCTACAGAGAGTCAAAAGTAAAACTCCAGAAAACAAATGAGCCCATTGAGGCTCCAAATGCTAAGGCATCTACCCTAGCCAGAAAACAAATGAGCCCATTGGGGCTCCAGATGCTACCAGGACGTCTCCTGGAGCCGCAGCCGGGAGTTCCTCCTCGGAGCCGCCAAATACAAACGTACGGAGCTGGGTACTACACAAACGCAGGCGCAGTTCATAAGACGGATTCAGACAGACAGACAAGACGAGACAAGACAGATGCTGTTCCATGTGAAAGCCAGATTACAAAAGACTCACCTGGTGATAAGTGCTAAAGTTAGAGCCTCCAGACCATCACTGTGAAAGACCCGCAAAGAGGTACTTTCGTAGAAGGAGACCCGCACCCAGGAATCAGCAAAACCACGAACTTTGGATGCAAAAGCAAGAGGTTTTATTGGTGGCGCGCGTACCCGGGGACTTAGCTTCTGTTAGGCCAAGCCCCAAGCCCCGGAAGGGGAGTCCTTTTATAGGGGAAAAAGGCACAGTAGTAGTCAGGCGAAACGGCCTTTATCTTCTTCCGTGTCCAGATGGCTGACCTTGGGGCGGAGCGATCCGGCGGGGCCGGGGCCGGCCTTGTCAATGGACCCTAAGGGCACTGTGGGTCACCCTGAGATAAGAGAAGAATAGCAGACCCAAAGGTATCCCCAACATATATGTTTATATAATTATGAGAAAATGTACTTCACTGAGCAGAGGTATTAAAAAAGAGAATGACAGTAGCCAACATTCAGTTATGTAGGAACACATAAGCAACTCAGTAAGTTCAGAGAAGGTGCAAAAGCCAGGAGAAACAGAAGAAGATGCTGTGGAATATTACTTTAACTATGTAAAGAAGGGTTACATTTGTTTATGCTGCATTTGTTTAATTATGCACATTACTTATGACATTTTTCATCATTCCACTCAAGTGCAACTTGCCAAGAGCAAAGGTGATTTAGGAAATGACAGAAAGACGATTGTTTACTCATGTTTGTACTTGCACCTGGTGGCCCTCAATGATGTCCTTCAACTTAGAGTCAAGCAAGGGACTTCACAAGCAATAGATGGAACTCAATATTGGTGCACACTGTTTCCTCACTGTTTAAAGCACTACTGCAGTTGTATTTAGTCTTTAGTTTTACCTAAAGCAATTGCAAAACAACAACAACAACAAAACCAGAGGCTTCCATAGTAAGCTTGTCAGCTTCTCATGCCACCTAATTTAACTGGCCTTAGAGTGGAAGACCTGGAGGACATGGAAAAGTACATGGGCCTTACTACAGGTGTGTTCAATACAAACTATGGTGGTTTGATGTGGTCTGTCTGCCCCTGGGGGTCACCCCAATTAAAAGGGAAAGAGCATCAGGAGCTATCGGGACCAGAGCCACCCTACACTGAGCTAAGCACTTACTTAGTGGCTGGCGGATTTATGGTGACGTCTCCACCTGGTTGTCCAGGTACCAAAGTCATCTTGAAGGGCATTCTTTCCCTGATCAGATCCCAGCACAAGGACTTTCTCAAGTCCTTCTACTCCCCACACAGCAAGCATGGCAGAGCCTGAGGAGTGGCCAGCCTCAAGGACTAAGACTAAATATTCCTAATGATAAGAACAGGTGTGTGTCATCTGATATTTGTGGAAAAGGCTGTGTGGTACCCAATGTTCACCATCACCACTCTCACTTCTCCTAGAGCCAATCAGACTCCAGCCTTTCATTCTTAAGCTTGAGTGTTAAATTTCTCAGCACCAGTCAGAGGATTTATTCTATTGATTATTCGACCAGTGCTTTCAGAGTCTTTCGTATTTCCAAATACTTTTCTCTTCAAATGAGCTTTGGTCATCTATGTTCCCAGAACCACCCACAAGGCCCAGAAAAATGGGAGGAAACTACAAGCTGGAGTAGCCCCTTCTGCCTGGAGGCTTCACCTGAGCCCTCTCCCTGCCATGTGTCCCCCAAACTACATTACACCCAGCCCTGCACTCAATCATGCACACGTCCTCTCCAAGTCACCAGACCTCCTGAAGCTACTCACTGCTTTTTCCATTTTGTAGCTGAGAAAACCCAAGTGCCCAAGGCCCAGAACATTTCAACCTTCCCAGTCTCTGGTATCTGAGCTATACCCACCAGATGCCCTGTGCAGGCACTTGGGCTCCCCAAAGCAGAAAAGGACAAATTGCGTTGCCTCCTGGCTATGCCCGTGATACCTGTAAGGCCCCAGTCAATACAGAAAAGGGAGGAAATGAATGGCCAATTGAAGAAGGAACAGGTCAAGCCTTCTTCAGTGCCAGGCACAAAGCCTGAGCAACTACTCTGGCTGCTCTGGGTGCAGCTACACACATCCCTTTCCAGAAAAAGCAGTAGTCTTCTCCTTGCTGGCAATTCTGTTTGTAGTTTGTGATCAAATGCTGAGAAGACTTCAGACACCCAGGGCTAAGTGAAGGCTCATAACCAATTTCCTTCTAAGTGTCTTCATATGTAATGCTGATTGATATCTGTTTATTGCCAACTTTGTTTATTTATTGTATGTGTGTATGCGGCCTATGTGAGTTTACTTGCGGATGCCAACAGAGGTCAGAGGTATTGAATCCCCTCAAATCAGAGTTAAAATTGGTTGTGAGCCGATCAACATTGTTCTGGGACTAAACTGTAGACTACTACAAAAGCAGCAAGTGCTCCTAACTTCTGAGTCACCTGTCCAGCCGTAAATTTATGTTTTTTTTCCCCTAAAGTTGCCAAGCTGGGTGTTTGCAGCACCCACCTTTATTCCCAGAACTCAGGGGGCAGAGGCAGGCAGATCTCTGTGAGTTTGAGGCTGGCCTACAGAGCTAGTTCCAGGAGAGCTAGTGCTGTTGCACAGAGACATCTTGTCTCAAAAAACCAAGAGAAAACAAAAAGGAATTTGCCGCATTATTAATTTCTGCCATGGGGTGTTACCTCTCGTCCACCTTGCACTTCCTGTTCCCTTACCATGTCTGGTTAGCAACTCCATCTTTCTTCTTCCCAGAAAATTCTGTTTCCCTGAAAGCCTTCTCTAACCTCTTCCGGCTGAGCTATTGCCATTCAGCTTGTTATTAAACCAATCACAATGCCACATCTTCACACCCTGTAAAGAAATATCCCTCAACAGGGGGCTCACATCTCTCATTTGTGCTGGGATCTTGAAAAGCAAGCACAGCACTGAGAACTATGGAGATGGAAGGCCTATGTCCATCATTTCAAGAGCTCTTCCTCCTTTGTCAGCCTACTGGAAGGATGCAGCAGAGAGTCAAGGAGGCCACTAGAACCTCAGTCTATGGGTTGTAGAACCCCGCCTGGCAGGTAGGTGGTTCCATATGTTGGCACTGTGAGAACTGAGACACAGGAGTATCCCCTAAAGATTATAGTCAGGTGATGAGGGAAGATCCCAGTCATTGACTGGGGATCAGTTTCCCTAGGAACTTCACTGTCTGAACAGACACCCCTGGAGACATGAGATTTCAGCCTCTCTGTGTCTAGCCCTGCTCTTCTGCACAAATCCTGCCCATGGCTGTCTCTCACCCTTCGACAGACAGGTTAAATTCACTCTCCCAGTGTCCTAGCTGTCACTCATTCAGAGACCCTTCCAGGAAGTCCATTTTCCAATGAGGAGATTCCTCTCACAATGATAAGGAGGCCCTGCACTCAGTCATGTTGACTTGCAACTGCTTTGGGAAGTCTTTGTAACTCTAGGCTTGTCCCGAGCACAGAACTTGAAGTCTTATCTACCAGGGCTGCCTGCTTTAGGTGTGGAGGCATCTCACAGCTTTCAGTGCCTCCTCCTAGAAGCCATGGAGCGGTATGAGGGGCTTGCTAGCTTCTTTTCTGCCCCTTGCTATCTTTTTCTTTTGCACTTTGCAAGGAACCTGTCACTACCTTTGTGAATTTCTGACCTTTGTGTTCTCTTTCTGTTTGTAATGAGGCCCTTTCTACCTCTCCTCTCTTCCTCTCTCTGAGACAGGATCTCACTATGTAGTCTGGGATAGCTTGGAACTTGCTGTGTAGACTAGGGTGGTCTGGAACTCAGAGACCGGCCAGCTTCTGCTTTCACAAAACTGAGAACTGGGATTAAAGGCATAGGCTACCACACTTGGAAAATTTCTTCACCCCCCACACTGTAGCACAAGTTTTAATAGGTCTTAATATTAAAAACTGGGAGTCGGAATCGGGGCATATGCTGGAAGATCAGAGAAGTATAGGAGCCAGACACTAGAGAGGCTTCTTTCCTCTACCGAATCCTCAAACTAAATGGGCGATCCTGTCTCTAGGAATCCTCAGACTGAGTGCAATGAGCTCCTGTCTCCTCCTGCCTCATATTCCTCTCTCTCTCTCGGGTCTTATCCCTCTGGTCTCCACCTAGCTAGTGCTGGGATTAAAGGCGTGTGATCCCAAGTGCTGGGATCAAAGGTGGCTGCCACCACTGCCTGGCCTCTAAGGCTAACAAGTGGTTTAGCTCCATACTCTGATCTTCACACAAGTTTGTTTGTAGATCACAGACAAAATATCACCATGTCTCTCTGTTTCTTTTCTGAATCTCTCTCACAGGGTTGCAAGGAAGCAGATTTATGTCTGCCATATTAGCCAGAAGTTTTCCTGTTAGATTTCAAATTCACTCCCACTACTTTGAGATAGTTTAGTGGTTTTTTGTTTTTTTTGCTTTGTTTTTTTGTGGAAAAAAAGGCATGTTTCTTTTAATTCCCCATGTCACCCAAATATAAGTGTGGAGAAGGAGTAGTTTGCTGTGCCTTTTGCTGTTTCATGTGGTTTAATTGTGGAAAATTTTCCTTGTGTTTTTTTTTTTTCTTTTCAATTCTATTTTTCTGCTGTCTCCTTAAATTTTGACCTCTGTGTTCACACATGGTTTGGATAACTAACCCTCCATTTCAGGTAAACATTCCATTGTGGTGGGATGTTAGTTAAAGATTGTGACATTTGTTTATGCTGTGGAGCACTTGTTTGATGGTACAAAGACGTGTTGCATTCTTTTCTGTTTCATTAGTGTAACTCTGTGAAACTGTTACTTTGCTTGTCTAAAACACCTGATTGGTCTAATAAAGAGCTGAGTGGCCAGTAGTGAGGCAGTACAAAGGATGGGCGGAGTTTGCAGGCAGGAGAATAAATAGAAGGAGAAATTTGGGGATAAAAGATCAAGGAGGAGGAAAAGGAACAAGGACAGGGAGACGTTAGGGGCTAGTCACACAGGCAGTCATGGCGTAAGAATGAAAGGAAGATATATAGAAGTAAGAGAAAGGTATAAGCCTAGAGGCAAAAGGTAGATGGGATAACCTAAGAAAAGCTGGCTAGAAACGAGTCAAGGTAAGGCAGGGCTTTTATAAGTAATAATAAGACTCTGTGAGCTGGATGATCACACCCCTCAAAAGAGCCCAAGAGTAAAAAAACAACCAACTGCATTCTACCTCAGTTTCTTTCCCACTAGATGCAATGTAGTTGCAACATCAGTTTTACTTAAACATTTACGCTGCTGTATGCTTTTTTAAGTGTTGCCTGTGAGGGTATAACATTCTCAGAAGAGTTCTTGATTTCTTTTGTTTGCTTGGTCAGTCATAGAAAGAAGGGATTTTAGTAACCTGAACTTTATTAGTGGTGTTCACCTGTCCTTTTGGGCAATCACCCATCAGACTCGGGGATGTGGACCAAGTTTAGGGCAGTAGGCAGTAGGCATCACTAAAACCATTCTTTCCATTCTCTGTTTTCTCTGTACCCTGACATGGTATGAAACCATGACTCCTTTACTGGGGAAGAAAATGTGGAAATGTTCAGAGAGACATAAGGAAGGAAATTGTAAATTAATATGATTAGGACACAAGCTCACATAAGTTGTTAACATTTCTTTAAGGAATGGAGAACACAGTGGGTCTCCTTTAACAAAGCTTATGACAGCCAAAGCTTTTCTTTCAGAATATGTAGCTTGCCATAAGTAGTACCATGGGTTGGATAGGGAAGATTCTGAGTTGGAGTACTTAGGCAGCGACTGGCATGTTGTACATGGGTAGCAATGAGACAGTTTACTACAGTGGCCACAGGAGGGGCCAATGGTTGTTATTATATGGGATAATTTTCAGTTATGACTACAGAAATGAGAAACTTACTTGTAGGGCAATGCAAGATGATGCTTGCTGAGACAGGAGTGTTCCTAATGCCTGATGCTCAGGCTTGGTAGTCATATTGATAGAGATTATCTTTGTGACTTATTACCATCACTGAAAATCAAATGTTTTATCAAAACCCGTGAGAAGCAATGGAGACCAGGAAGAGCTGCGTTTCAAAATTCCCTTATTTTACAATATAGAATGACTTCTCCCTGGAAATAAATAGAAAGCAAGAGAAGAATGGTGACCAGAATCACGAAGTTCCCGGAGAAGAACAGCTAGCAAACCAGTGCTCCATGGAGGAGCACTGCACTGAGGACCTCACAGTGTGTTGGGGGAAATACTGAATTGTGATGGGGAAATTACATCAAATGATGCACATTAGTGGAAATCTTTCCAAATTCAGGCAAATACACTCTGAATGGACTCAACAGTGTGGCTTGATTTTCTGTGTCTCTGCTATTAGCAGGCTTACAGAGTATGTCCCAAGTCCTCAGGCATAACTTTCTATGATGATTTAGAATTGTGAACTCCACCTTCATCCAATGGGGTAACCAGGGGAAACCCAGTGCAAAAGTGGGTAAGAAGTATCGGAAAAATGGGGTCACAGGCTCCTGGCAGGGCCAGCTAATGTGGCAGAGAAATGGATCCTGTCAGTCTTTTGCTATTAAGGAGGTTGTCTTTAACTTCCTTCCTCCTATCTGTGTGATTCTCATCCACCAACTCTCCCCACAGCAATCAAGAGAGATAATATCAACTCATTAAGTAGACGTCAACTTCAGCAATGTTCCCAGTAGATTAACAATAGTGTTAGCCCTGAATCCTCCCTTTGTAGGGTCCCATTTGTCGTTCTTGGGATGCCCCAGAGTGTTGTATCTAGGGTGGATCTCTAAGAAGGAGGCACCTATCCCAGAGACAGTTTATAACTGAACTCAGATTAGCAGTGGATTCCTGAATCAACTGACAGTTGTTGATCTATAATTCCAGTGTTTCCCCTCCTTCTATGTGTTCCCCACAGAGTATCAGGGCAACGTCATTTGTGGCGTTCTGAGTGTGTAAAGCAAAATGCACATACCAAAACTTTTGCTATTTCTGCTTTCTCTAAAGTGCTCAACTTGCTGTCTACACATCGCTTCACTTCCAGTTTTGCTTCAACAGCCTCGGGAGGTGCATCATATTTCTCAAGTTCCTTCCTCAAGGTTTCCTCACTCCCAGTTACGAATATACCGCTTTCTTTAATAACTGCTGGACAGACCATTGCAGCATCAGCTGGAAAGAGTAAGGGAAAGATTTATTTTAGCCAAAATTACTTTTCACTTTTAATTAATTTTTTTTTTGCTTTTGCTTGAGTCTCTCTGATTTAAGGCTCCAGACTGGCCATGATAAACAGTATTATAGCTCACGCCTGTAACTGAAAAAGAACAGCGTGACTTCCTCAAGGCCACAGAGCAAGGGACTGAAGAAAGATTAACATTGACTCTCTACTTTTCTATATTTGAATTCACATTCACAACTTCTAAAGTTTCTGTGGCTTGCTGAAATTTGTTTTCTAGCATTAATAGCTGGAGGTTTGACTGCATCTTCTGTAGCATTTTCATGAGTCTTTGATAGTTGAAAAAAATGAAGTTTTGTGTCATGCATCTTTGACATGAATAACAGAGTTAGAATTTTACAAGAGATGGGAAAAGGAAAAACCAACCAGACTGCTTATGTGTAGAACGGCAACATTTTGAAATTGATGGAATTAGGTCAGGGCATCAAGTACAGTTCAAGGTAAAAAGCTAAAGCTACAAGAGCTTTTTTGTTTGGTTTGGTTTTTCTTTTCTTTCTTTCTTTTTGTTTTGAGATAGTGTTCTCTGTGTGTCTCTTCTGTCTTGGACATGATCTGCATATCAGGCTGTTCCCCCAACTCAGAGATCTGTCTGCTTCAGCCTAATGAGTGCTAGGATTAAAGTTGTATGCCACCACTGTGCAGCTGAGTTGATCAATTTTGACTCACACCAGAGCATATCCTGGAAACTTGTGACAAGCTTTACCTTTCCACACGGATGCTCAGACTTACTTCTAGGGAGGGTGACAGGAGAAGCTGACACCTCCCTATGGTTTCTAAAGATCCAGATAATGTTTTGGCAGAACTAAAGAAATCAGCTCTCCTAATCTAGGTTCCACATTCCCTTCAAGACTCTTTAAAAAGCAAAATAAATAAACAACACCTATCCCCATCTCCAGAGGTGGTGTGGGCTGGCCTCAGAAAGTTTCTCACGTTTCAGCTTTACCTAGCTTGGATGTCAGGGATGGATCACCTGAGCCAGTTTTCCCTAGGACAGGACAATACAGTCCTTGGGAGGCACCCAAACAGCATCTGATGTGTACCAAAAGCAGGTTCCATTGGGCTCAAGGGCATGTTGTAGACCATCACATGAGGGGTAGTTAGGCAGTCAGAGGGAGATGCAAAAACAAAAGAGAGTAGCTTCCCATGGAACTTGGTTCATTTTAAAGGTACTGAGCATGTAGAATGTACTGTTCACACACAAATGGGTTGTTTGCAAAAACTTAATTTTAGGAAAATGGATGTCTTAGTGGTAATGACTGTACTGTTTCTATCCCTGTTATTGGTTGGACCCGCCAGAAAATGACCATGCTACACCAGCCTGCTTCTTCTCAGAGTCTAATGGAGGGCCTTGGGTTTTGTACCTCACAGACTCAGGAAACACTGATGTGGAATGGAACTATCTCAAGTCACTTTCCCAGGAACTAAGGCAATAAACTGAAAAGTAACACAAACAACAGACTTCCTCTGATGAAAAGCATTTCCTGAACTTTTTTCATAACGGATGTCTTGTCCTCCCTCCACCTCATCAAGCTTCCTAAGTAGGATAAGATTAGTTGAATGTATCTGGGCTTTTATGAGGGCAAGAAAGAAAGGATGGAAGAAATTTTTGATCATCTTTTCCTGACTTGAACCTTGTCATACATAAACTTACCAACTGTTCAGAGAGGCAAACTTACCAGGAGCTATGGCTGGATTGATCATAAATGATACTCACCCTCATAGCAATGAACAGCCAGGATGACCAAGAGAAGACACAGGGACAGCCTCATGGTGCTCAGTTTGTTTTCAGACTTAGCAAAGGGTGAGCAAATGCAGTCTACCAGAGACCCTAGCCCAGGGATATTTATACATGGTGAGGCTTACTGGTCCCGCCCTTCATACACATGGCAGCTCACAAGACCTGGTTTAGGCCCCCCTTCTGCATCACTGAGGGCTGATCCACTTACCTTCCTCCATCCTCATGGGCTGTAGCCCAGGAGAGCAGCCTCATGGGAGCATCATTGTTCTTTCAGGTGACCTTTCACATCCAAGGAAGTAATTTGTGAAGTTTCAGTTTACTTTTGAGCTTTTGATTATTGCACTTGAGTTCTCTCCATCTCAACAGGTACAAGTGGCTTCTGGACAACAGGATGACATTTTCCAGGGTGCAGAACCTCCAAATACTTGCCCAGGAATAGAGCTTTGCATTTGGACCTTGCCAACACTCATCCAAACCCTGGCATAAAACCATATCAAAAGATCAGGAAGATCTGAAAGAAAGAATAACCTCAATGCACTGCAAGCAGAAAACAAAATAGGCTCCAAATTAGTTAAGGAAGGAAACACTGAATAAGACAAAGCAAAAAATACAGAGCAGAAAGCATAGAAAACACCAGTGGATTTAAGACAGTTCTTGAAAACTATGAACTAGGGAAATGCACATCTAGACAAATATAGAATAATGGGAAAATATGAAATGAAAAATGAGAAATTACCAATTATTCCACAGAAAGAAATCAAAGGATTGGCAGGGGGTCTTATGATCAAAAAAATGCCAACAAATGTGACAGAATACAGGAGCCATTTCTGAACGTATGTATTCTATCAAATGGAATCATGAAGATTTTTAAAAATCTGAATAGACAGCAATTTGTGATTGGAGTGTATATATATATATCAAAAGTTTCCATACGAAGAAGAGTAAGACCAGTATATGTATATCATAAGTTTCCATATGAAGAAGAGTAAGACCAGAACAAAATGGCTTTACTACTGAATTCTATCAAATATTTGGAGAACTAAGATTATTCTTATTTTATTCCAAAACTGCATTGTAGGGAATTGTTCCTAAAACATCCTGTCAGGCCAGCATTTCACTGATCCAAAATCACACAACGACCCTCACACTCACACACACTCACACTCACACATCAAACCCTAAAACTCTGGTATCCTTGATGAACATACTTGTAAGAATACTCATCAAAATTCCAATAACATAATACCACAGGACATATTGTTTACTATCATAAACAGTGTTACAAGGGCGACTCAACAAATGCACATTTATACAAATTCCAATAACATAATACCACAGGACATATTGTTTACTATCATAAACAGTGTTACAAGGGCGACTCAACAAATGCACATTTATACACTTTGTGTTGCATCAGCATAATGAGAAAGAAAAACCCCTTCATCCTCTTTGTTGGTGATGGAAGGACATCATATTAATCTGAACAAGAACACTTCTGTGGGCTGGCAAGATAGTTCAGTGAATAAAGATGCTTGCTACCATGTCTACTGACCTGAGTTTTCATCCCTTGGCCGACACAGTGAAAGGAGGGAACTGTCTCACATTAATTTTCCCCTGAACTTCACATAAATGCATGTCCACACATACATAAAAACAGAAGTATTTTAATAATATTTTTTTCTGGGTTGTTTGAGACAGGCTTTCTCTGTATAAAAGTTCTGACTGTCTAGGAACTCATTTTAAGGTCGCTGTCTCAAACTCACGGAGATCCACCTGCCCCTGCCTCCTGAATGCTGCCTAACTAATTATTTTTCAAAATTAACAATTCTTTATTATAAAATTATGGACTTCATTATGCATGAAAAATGTATCTTTTTTGTTTGTTTGTTTTTTGAGACTGGGTTTCTCAGTGTAGCTTTAGAGCCTATCCTGGCATTCGCTCTGGAGACCAGGCTAGCCTTGAACTCACAGAGATCCGCCTGCCTCTGCCTCCCAAATGCTGGGATTAAAGGCATGCACCACAAACACCCGCAAAAAATGTATCTTAATATAGAAAGACTACCTATAGTAAGTCAAGGACATCCTGTAACAAAGAATGTCTACTTTCTCTGTTTATTCAAACTGTGGGAATCCTACCCATAGCAATCATACACAGAAAAGACACAGGTAGCCATGATAGAAAGAGAACAGTGTCTGAAGATCTTATATGTAGAGAACACAAAAACTGTACCAAAACCGGTTACAATTTATAAATACCCTGAGCAAGGATCCCAGTTACAAACCAGCTCATAAAAGCAGCAGTGTTAGTAATGCTAACAGCAAGTTATCTCAACGACAGAGTGTGTGTGTGTGTGTGTGTGTGTGTGTGTGTGTGTGTGTGTGTGTGTGTGTGTGTGTGTGTGTTTGAATGCTGTATGTAAAGTGTAGGTGAAGGAAAACTGCGTCAGTTCTTTTCTTCTAAGGTCTGTGCCTCAGGTACTGAGTTCACATGGCTGGACTCGACCACAAATGCCTTTATGCACCAAGTGATATCACTGGCTCTGCTTATTTATTTTAAATGAAATTTTATTAAAACTGTAAGGGCCAACAGTCTTGGAGATATGAAAAGAATATTGCCTGCCACTTCAGCCAGGTTTATTTATTTCTTGGGAGCTGGTGTTTATTTATTTATCGCTGAACTATATTCTAGCCATCATTCTGTCTTCTAGAGACCCTTGGGAAATGCTTTTGTCATAAATATGTAGAAAGCACTGAGAAAGAGTTCTCTCCATAAGTCTCCTCCTGTTAGGTGTTGTAAGGCATTTGGAGTGGCCAACTCTGCTCATGTGTAAGATTCTGAGGCTACCAGGAGTCTGGGAGCAGCACAGCCGTCACTGGTACAACACCTTCCTTCTTTCCGAAGACACCACTCTCCTTGCACAGATTCTGTGACTGAATCATCTGTGCAATGTCAGCTGAGACATAAAACCTGCCTCACACATGTGCAGGAAGCCCAGCACCTGCAGTTTGTGAACTCCATTTGGAAATCTGAGGCAAGTTGCTTCTGGAGAGAGAAAAATTCAGACCAGAAGCACAAGTGTCCTGTGGTTTCCCTCAATGTCCCCTTAAATAGCTCCACAACAAGCATCTTTTTTTCACCCAGTGACCATTATTCACTCTCCAGAGAATGGCCTCCACCAAGTATCCAGGTAAAACCCAAGTCACAGTCACAGTCCCTTCAGTGTGGGGTGGGTATTGTTTAGACATGGAAACCACTTAAGTGGCCTCCAGCCCAGCAGGTGCCAGGGCAGGGACATAAGTGTGGGAAGAGAGTGGAGCCCCTCTACATCCTGCCCTGTGAAACTGTGTCCTGTTTACTTCTCAAGACCTTTACTTGACTGGAGGTTGAAGATTCAGCCTTGGACAAGCAGCTGTGAGTACCCGGGAAGGAGGGCTCAGGTGTCCTTTCTGGAGAAGTCAACTTTGTTCTTGGCAGCTTGTTCTGTGGATTGATAGGAAGGACAGCACCATTAGTCATCACACAGCAAAGCACACTGCGGATAATCAGAGCTCACAGAGTTCCCAATACTCCTTTACTTCTGTTTGTTTAATTCTTTAGTATATGAGCCAACTATTCTTTTCTTGTTCCTTGTTCCTTCAACTGGTCCCCTTGTCCTTAACTGATCTAGGCTTTCAGACACAAGATTTTTGTGTTGTTTGTCTCTTGATCTTATGGGCCTACTTTCCTTGCCTTACTTGACTTTGTCAAGTATCAACTCTCCTGAGGACCGTAAACTTCTCCCAATGATCAACCACATTACTTATATCTTTATGTTGGATATATTTTAAATATTCAATAATGTCACTATTTTTATTTACATTGAGAGAATTGTGCTTCGAAGTAAAATTAGGCAAGAGATGCATTTCACTTTCATAGAAACTTGGCATACAATAGGTACCAAATTCTGTATTTCTTTTCTTCTCAAAAAAAAAAAAAAACTCCCATTAAAATTGTTCTTTGGCGATTTCCTAGGTGTATATCGTGCATTCTGACTGACCTTCCCCAGCACTCTCATGTCTCCCTCTCACTCTGTCCTCCTTCCTTTCCACAACTTCCTCTCCCACATTTGTGTTTATTGTTTTGTTTTGGGAGCCACTCAGTTGAACCAGGGCTGTCTATGTGAACAGGGTTTGGAGCAGCAACCGTCCTCTTTGAAAACCCTTCCCATGCCTGTGTCCTGTACTGTGTGCCTTTCCCTTTTCATCCAAGAGTCTCAGAGTTTTGGGTTTTATGTTGACGTCTTTGATCCATTTTCAGGTGATTTTTGTGCAGGAAATGGAATCCTTATTTGCAGATGTCATCATCTTATATATAAAAAACCCTGAGGACTCTACCAGATTAAGGTTAGATACGATAAACTTGATAAAACTCTTAGATCTGCAAAGTAGCAGAATATAAAATTAACACAGCTGTTTGTCCAAATAGTAGCATTCCTGTAGTGACAATATATTCAGAAAAAAATTAGAAAAGTATTCCCACCCAAAGCATATGTTCAAAAAATGAAAGAACTTGTAATTAAAAAATATCACACAGGGAAATTAAGCAGACCCGAAGTCTATACATTTCAATGTATGCCCATACAGTTGCAACAGCCATGCTGAAGCTATGGAGCTTCAAACTGGATTATACACTTTCTCTATCAAATATGTTTTCATGCAATTGCCCACCACCAAAAAATGAACAATGGTCAGTAGTGTTGAAAGTAGAAGAATTAGAGTCATATTCATATTGATGATTCACATGTCCTTTACCTGTGTTAGGTCATTCCTCTTCCCAAATATTGATCCTTTCATGCTCACTTTTTCTCTGGTTTTTCACTTTCAAGATCAAAATTACCTTGGAATATTTAAGAAAGCTGTATTTTAATGACACATTTCAGTAATTGGAACCCATTTCTAACTTTAGGAGCTACTGGTGAGGGATGTATAATTCACCCGTTAACGTATACAACTCAGTGGTTTAAAAATAATACCTGGAATAAACTTAACCAA